ACAGTAAACTTCATGAACATCCAAAGTATCAACTTTTAATTGGGATGAAGAAATTTATCCAATAATGAACATCAAGCTAAGCAAAAACTCGACTCGACTCGGCTCGTTTGCAGCCCTAAGTCTAAGATGTCCTCATCTGAACAACGTGGATTCATATAAGATAGAAAAAATTGTACATGGGACGTGGTATACCTTTGTGACATGGTTTATGATTAGAGAATTCAAACATTATAAGTGAATGTGCCAAGTATTGAGAATTTTCAATATATAGACACACCACATACTCACTTATCAATACAAAATATAATAAATTTAGAAGGTCCAAAATAGTTTGAACATATAGATAAATTAAATTAATGTCAACGATAACATGAAATTTTCCGGCCAACGGGCCGGGTAAAAAGCTAGTCTATATTTAGTTTAGTGGTACTTTTTGGTTTATGGAAACAATAATATCTATCTTACTTACGTGACATTAACATTTCGATAAATTCTATGTATGAAATTTGAGATTTAATAAATTCAACTCGAGTAAGCATTCAATTGATTCCAAATAATTAGGACTTTTGTTAGCCAACTCCATGGTTTAAAAGACACGTTTAACCTTATGCTTAGGCATGTCTAGGCGCAAGGCAATGGCAAACGCCTCGCCTAGAGGTTTCACGCCTAGTTAGATACTGAAACACGTCAATGGAGTAAAGCGACATCTAAGACTCTCCTATACATAATTAGATGGAGCTAGGAAGTCAATATTAAATGAGGAAATTAACGTCAACCACGAAATTGATTTTCTATATTAATATTTTCAATGGCTCAAGATCTTTGTGGGCTATTGAGCTATGATTCTATGAATTCGTGAGCTATGTTATTGTCATTAAGTGTTGAGTAAGTTATTAAACATTTTAACTAAAGTGAGAAAGTGTTTTAGATTATTATTTCATTCATCATGCAGTGCGAATAACTATTTTTCTTCCAACGCTTAGGCACGCTTGATCTACGCCTATGCGATCTAAGCGCTAGGCAAGCCTCAACGCATGTCTTACGCCTAGTGTCTTCTTGAACCTTGATCAAACCTATTGAATTAATAATAATTAGCCAAATGTTAACTTCCAGTTAGCAAATTTGTTAGTAATATTGATTTGGTAACATGATACTAACTTGTAGAAATTAACATCCCGAAAATTTTATATTGTAAGTAAAAAAGAGTTACAAAATTATTAACGATAACGTAAAATGAATAAAATTTTGATGCATTACAAACCTTTGGCTAATTTTTAGTATTTCGATAGGTTTACCTAATAAAAAAAATAATCATTACTTTTCTATAACTTTGTCCATTTGCGCATTTCATTTGTGATTCTCTCGTTATTGTGGGTAACAGAGTTGGCTAGCAGTTGTTGGTTAGCGGATGTTATCACTTTTTAAATTAAGTGTTAATTGTTGGGTTGTTCTTCTTGGGCGTATCATCGCCATAAGGGACAGGCTTCAAAATTCTGGTTAGATTACAATTTTTTGTGTAGCAAGAATTTGGTGTTATATATATAGAGAACATGCAAGACAACTGAGTCTTTGGAGTATACATTTTTTAAGTAGTTTTATTTTACAAAACAGATAACTGATTCATTCAACAAAATGAAACTATGACTATCATCGATCTATTTTATTCGTGATCTGTGTCGCTTAGTATATTCGTATTAAAATATATTGTTGATTTATTTGTTTTTTACTATGTAATTTTATATTTTCAAAATTCATTATAATGCCATTAATTATAAGTTTTAGTTTTGGAAAATCAATTAATAAATTAATTTTATCTTTGAACCCAAAATATGTGAGATTTATATCCTATTCCAAAGATTTCGAAGATTTTTCAAATCAAAATGACATGATATTATTAATGAAAATTGCAACAAAAAAGATTTCAAAATCTTTTTGGAGAAGATTTTTTATATAGTAATCTCTTATTTATGGAATTATGATAAATAATAGATAGAAGAAAATATTTTCCGATATTGACTTTCTTAAATTTTAAAGTGGTTTGGAAGGGCATTGGAAAATGTGTGGCACAAAGTTTTTTTTACCACATTAGTATGCACACCAATATGGTAATTTGATTAATAAAAAAAAGTTTAAAACATGTGTGAACGGTTTGAAACCTAAACAATAACTTGTAGACCTGTCTTATTTCATTACTTGACTTTAAAAGGAAAACAATAATATGTGACAAGTGTAAGAAATTATTTATTGCAAGTATGTCCATAACTGCCCTATATAGTTCACTTTTTTTTTATAACTTTTAGAGCATATCTTCAAAGCAACTACAAAAAATCAGAATGATGGAAGAAAGAATGGGAAGTCCATCTTGTGAGGTTGTTTTCCCAAGTCAATCTGAACCCCGCAGCACCAAATCCAACACTTGTATTTTGCCTATCCAAATCTTGGTCGTGGATGATGATCCAACATGTCTTTCTATTGTGACAGAATTACTGAAACGATGTCGTCCATCAGAAGGTACATCTACTGAAAATTTAGTCTTAAAATTATAGCTTCCATTGTATTTACTTGTCTTGCTATATTGCTTTGTCAATTTCCAATGATTTACCCTTTTAAGTTCATTTTTGGGGTTATTTATAATTCATGGTCAAGGGTGTTTGGTTTTTTACACATCTTTAATATAAATATATAATTTTTTCTGTAAGAAGGTTGAGTCTACGGTTCACTCTTGATTTCGGATGTATATGGTGCACCCGAGCCTAAAATCATATTTCAGTCATCAAATCTTAAATCTTAACTATTGATGTTTGTTTAGCAATGAAAAGAAAACAAATCATGTATTTGCCTTAAAATTTTATCCGTAAAATGGATATTTAGAGTTGTACCCTAGTAGGGTTCGTAATTATTTCAAATGCATGTGATTTATAGATAATTTGTTCGTAATTTCATAGATTTTTTTGTTCATTATTGTACGATTGTGATCCTTTCGACGCAAATATGTTGTTCAAATTGACAATAATGAAATTGTGCATCCAAAATTGTAGACAGTCGTTGTATAAATTGACACATTTTAATTTTATTGTTTCATTGTTATAAAATTGAAGATTGAGAACAATATAAGATAAATCTGATGATAAAAATGATAAATACAAGGCTATGCATCCAAAATAAAAAATATATATCATAGGCCCAACTTTTTTAATACCTCACATTTAAAACTAAACTGTCACATTTCCACCATAAGATAGTTCAACAAATGAATTTTTTTTTATTTTTTTTCAAAAAAGAGCTAAAATTTATATGAAAAATAAGAGTAATTACCCTCGTACATTTTTATGTATTGAAATCGTATGAACAATTTCTGTAGATGCATTGAAAGTTGGGAGAAAAAGGCTGCGGATATTGGCTTTGAGATAAAAACATTCAATTGAATGATTTTTTTTTGTTTATTATTGGCTAATTGGTTTAACACTTGTGGATGTAATTTTGTAGTCCATCATTTTTCAGTTTTTTTGTTATGCTAATGTGTTGTGATGATAAGTTTGGATTTTGATTTTATCAATCTTAACCACTTCTAATTTATTATAAAACTTATATTAAAGAATAGTTGCAGGTTTCGATTTTTATCAAAGTCTAATCATAACTGACAGAATTTAATAGAGTTCTCCATTATTACTAGGGCCTTGAACAAGCTTATATATTTAATGTGTTGCCTTTTCTTCTTAATGGTACTACCTTATGTTGGTACCTTTCTAAATATTCTCTCTTAATTATGATAATTTCATAGATGATACGGTAAGAGTCACAATGGCAACGACGAAAAGCTCGTTCGAGGCTTTGAGAACTCTACACAATGAACACATTTTCGATGTTGTTATTATGAGTCTACACATGCAGGAGGTGAATGGAATGGAGTTTCAAAGACAAGTTGTTCGAGAACTCAAGGTTCCTCTAATAGGTAAAGATCTACTTCATCACTTATCTTGCTCCTACTGCATTATCATCTTTAATTTTCGTAACACCATTTGCATGTTTATGTTTCTACAACTTGTAGTGATGTCAGCTGATGATAACGAGCATTTAATGCTCAAGACTTTAGAGGACGGAGCTATTTTTTATTTATTTAAACCGATTAAAATGGAAGACATTAAGAAAGTGTGGCAATATGTTGTTACCACAAAGAGAGGAAAATCTATTGTGGTTGATGAAGGGGACGACGATTCGTATTTGAACCATGATACCAAGTCAACATCGTCTATCAATAATGACATCAATCTTAGTCGAGACCAACAAAGTATCGTTTCAAAAGTGGGAAGGAAAAGGGGTAGGAAGAAAAAGGATGAAGAAGATGACAATAAACATGATTGTGATGGCGATGGAGAACTAAACGATCGTGCTGGAAAGAGGACGAAAGTGGTGTGGACGAGTTCACTTCACTCTCGTTTTCTGCTTGCTGTTAACCATATCGGGCTTGATAGTAAGAAATCCATATTTTTTTTACTTTTCATATTCAAACTTTCACTTATACTGTAATTTATGACTTGGATGCTTAATTGCAGAGGCTGTGCCCAAGAGAATCCTTCAGTATATGGGTGTGCCAGGAATCACAAGAGAAAATATCGCAAGTCATCTACAGGTTCAATTTCTCACCTACTCATAAGTAGTGTAATTATAACTTAACATAGCTAAAAATAATTGTTTCTTATATCTTTTATATTTTCAATAGAAAATATTTATGCCACCTTTTAACAACATCAAAAAGCCACATGCATTTCAAATTCGACTATCAAGTTCATTTATATAATTACGTTTTAACAGTCCTTTATATTTGCCTTGAGTTTTATTGTGTTGATATGGTTTTCCTTGTAGAAATATCGTCTCTTTTTGAAAAAGCTTACAGAAAATGGTGGATTTTTTCCCTCGACCCTTTCACAAAGGACTTTGCGGTCCTTTGCATATGGTTCATCATTGCTCTATAGAAGAACCAAACTAGAAGAATTAGATATGCTAAGCATAAGAAGGCTCAATCCAATGCTTGAATCAGCATATAAGAGTTCTAACTTTATCAATCTACGACACTACAATCAACAACTTTCACATGCATCTCGATTTCGAGGTAACAAGCTATCTCATTGGATTATCATTCCAAAAATTTAAACAACTAAATACTAATTATAAGTTAAATTTTACAAATTTTTTTTGCCAGAATCGAGCAACTATCATACCCATCTGTTACAATCCGGCAACATTCGAGGAAATCTTACAAATTCCAATCAAGAGCTTCCAAAATTTGGTGATACTTCTACATACTATAAGATTGGGACAACATCGCAAGTTGGAGGTTATGGTAATTATCAAATTTCAGGTAATCGCTCTCTCGGTACTCCAATGACTATGATGGGTAGTCCTTATCCTAGTCAAAAACTCAACTTCAATAGGTATATCGACATGCAATTGAATGGTATGAACTATGAGACTATTGGAGCTAGTAACCCATCATTCAATAAGAGTAATGGATTGCTTCCAAATGTTGGATGGGATGCTGCAAATCTTGGATTGACAAACCAGGTTTCTAGTGGATGCATGAATGTTGCACCAACATTGACGAAGAATGAACCGTTAAGTCATAGTTATGCTACAAGTCCATTCACATTTCCATCAATCAACAACAATGATCAAGACAACTACTTGGGATTGTCAAGACCATTGGGACAACAAGTCAAACTATTTGGGACTTCAAATGGAGGAGGAGGAACAAACAATCATGTTGATGTTATCAGTATGATGGATAACATCTCTACCAATTTGGCTAACGATCATCCATCCTTTGGTGATGATATGTTCAACCATCATATACTTGATGACATCGAGAAAAGTGGAATTCAACCCAACAATTCTACCTCTCTTTCTTCAGACACAAACCAGGTTCAAATATAGCAAACTATTTCATTATTTTGTTCATAGCACAACCAAATGTTTATCATATATAAGTGTTGGTTCTACCATTCATGCATCAAGAAGATGGAGTTAGAGAACTCACATTTTCAAGTGACAGTTCTCACTATGGTGATATTAAAATGAACAATCTTGTTACACAGCTGCCACAACACTCCAACTTCTCTACTGCGCTATCACACCATACTGAGCAAACTACAAACCTTGAAGTACTATTAGATGTCTCTAGTCAGGTAAACTTCATTATCTTATCTCATATAACATTATATATCTACTCGCCCACATTTTCAAATAAAATAGTAATAATTATAGAGTTAGAAAGTTTAGGTTCAATGCGTCATGTGTGCGTGAGCATGCGAATTAAACTAACTTTGACGAAATAAGTAAAAGGTAATTTCAAGAGTGAGTTAAATCCCATCAATGATAAGGGGTATGTGTAAAAGTGCCAATGTATTTCTAGAATAATAACATGAATGATTCACTTTTAATTTGCGTACGAATCTTAAAAGCTTTAATGAAAGCCATGTTGTTTTAAATAGCATGATCAAATATCTATGCTCTGTAATAATTGGATCTAGTTTTCCATTCACGCAGCAAGAAGCTGGAGTTACAAAGTTCACATTATCAAGTGACAACTCTTACTATGGTGCTATTGAAATGAATAACCGTGTAAGCGAGTTCTCACAACCCAACTTCTTTAACGAGTCGTCAAACCACTTCGAGCAAACTACAAACCTTGAAATGCTTTTAGAAGCCTCTAGCCAGGTAAAATCTGATACTTTATCTCACATAATTTTATATATTTACCAACTCACTTTTCCAAATAAACAATCACAATTTATCTCTAAGTTCAAGGTGTGCATAAGCAGACGAATCCAACCAACTCTGAAGATAGAAGCAATATCGACACTGAGTTTAATCTCTTCACTGATAAGCCAGTGAGTCCAAATGTTAATGGTTTTCCAAAATAAGAACACTAGTACTTCACTTTTAATTTGCATGCATATTTTATAAGTGTTAATGACAATAATATCAGTTTAGCATGGCCAAGCCTCTGTTCTCTGTAATAATGGGATCTAGTCTTCCATTCATGCATAAAAAAAGATGGAGGTAGAAAATTCACATTCTAAAATGAAATTTATCAGCATGGTGCTATTCGAATGAACAATTTTGTGGTCGAGTTGTCACACCCTCCAACTTTTCTAATGAGTTGTCACATCATACTGAGCAAACTACCAACCTTGAACTACCTTTAGATGCCTCTAGTTGGCTAAATTCTATTGTTTTATCTCACATTACATTGTATATTGATTCATGCACCTTTCAAAATAAATACTCATAATTTCATACTAGGGTCATGGTGTGTGTGGGCAGGCGAATACATCCAACTGCGACTATAAAATCAATTTTGAGTGTGAGGTTAATCCCATCAACGAAAAGCAGGTGAGTCCAAATATTATTTGTTTCCAAAATTAGAGTATTAGTTCCTCACTTATATTTTATATACTGATTTTAAAACAAGCATTACTGGTAATTAAGTTGTTTTAGAACAACCAAGTATATATGGCATGCAATAACTGGATCTAGTTTTCCTTTCATGCAGCAAATAGAAGGAGTTGCAAAGTTCACATTCTCAAATGAGAATCCTCATTATGGTTCTACTGAAGTGAACAGTCTTGTAACTGAGTTGCCACCCCACAACTTGTCTAATGAGTTGTCTCACCATATTGAGCAAACTACCAACCTTGAATTACTCTTAGATGGCCCTAGTAAGGTAAACTATGTTATATTAAATCATACATGACTTACTCAAGCTTCCAATTAAACAGTTAGATTTTCATGCTAGGTTCAAGGTGTGTGTGAGTGTGCAAATCCAACAAACTTTGCCGATAGAAGCAATCTCGAGAGTGAGTTCAATTCCTTCGATGATAAACTGGTGAGTCCATATGTTAATGACTTTCCATGGTATTATTTATTTAAATTTTAGCAATAAAATAACAAGAATTAATGGCAATCATGTTGCTTTTAGCACGAGGAGAGTGAAAGGGGAACTATAGAGTTCAATCTCAACAACTCATTTCTACCAGAGATTGAAGCATTATTAGAAAATAAGGTACAATGTTAACTACTTCAAAAAATTAGACATGATAATAAGATATATCATAATTAAAAACACTAATATATTTTTATCTGTTTGTTATATAATTCACAGGATTGGGCTGATCAGTTCGTTGAATGTCTACCTGAAACTGAGAACTGGACATCCTTTTGAAACAGAGATGACGGTTGATGTCATTAGATTAAAAATTAAGAAGACAATATGATGTTAAAACAAAGTAAAAGAATATTAGTTTTACAGTGTGATAAGAAGTATATCAAGTTTGTTGCGATAATATTTGTTGACCAAGACTTCATGTTTGGCTCAAACAAGGCCAATTTCTTAGACTCGTTACATGGTTGAGGTTAGTTTGGTTTATAGTTGACTGTTGGTATCGCTATGTTGGAACTCAAATAAAGAATATATCATAGTTTAAACTTGTTTGCCACTGCAAGTTTTGCTTAGCTAGTTGGCAATAAATTCATCATTTTTGGAGAGGTTTACTATCGAGAGACAGGAAAAAGCTTGTATGAACTTGTTTAAGAAGTTTATCTCCTTCTTGTTTCCTTATTTGATACCATATGTGAAAATAACAAATTAACTATTGGAGAATATATAATTGGACTCCTATGTTATATTCTTTTGTTTGTCGGCCTATTAACACATTTATACAAACCGTTAACAATTAAATCCAATTTTCACTCGGAACCAAATTTAGATCTCATATACCTATTTGTCAACCAATGAGGTAAATAGCCCAATGAAAGTGGAAGGAGTTTGGCACACGCAATTTGTGTGTTCGAGCCACCGCCGTCGTGCGGAGTGGGTGTTCCCTCTACGATACCTTGGTTTGACTTTAGTCGCAAAAAAAGAGATAATCAATCCCGTAATTTGACCAACCAAGACATCACCAAAGATGATAACCGTAAAGGGTGTTGGACGTTATAAAAACATATTTGTCATATAGAAAAAATTGGATCATTCTAAATGCTCAAAATTTGGAATAAAGAGATATTTTGCCTAAATTACTCCAAGTGGGAGATATTTATTCTAAAGCAGAAGTCAAGAGGAGTCTGGAGGAGGGGTGTTCTTGCAAAATCAGTGTAAGGGGCCTTTTCGCAAAAAAAAAAAAAAAAAAACTAATTTTGTCATTATTTGCTATATATCTACCGGATTAGAGTGTTGCCAAGAGAAAAAATCCACCAGCGCCTTTTTTGACTTTTTTCCTATTACGGTTTTGGAGTGCTGTGGTTTATACCATCTCTCGATTGCCGCTCTCATCAGGTGAGCTACTGCATTGAATCTCTCTTATCTATTCCATCCCTGTACTTTGTGTCTTCCTTCGTCTTGCCGCTCTAATTTTTGTTTGGTATACGAGGGAGAAAACAAATCGAGTTTGACGTTTTCATTTGAGGTGCTTGATCTAGTCTCTAGAAATTGTTTCTCTTGATATGATATGCCTTCGTATTATACTGGGTTAGGTCGATCTGCTGTTGTTGGTTATTGAAATCTCTGATTCGCGATAGTTTTATGCTTTAGTTGAAGCATAAATGGAGGGTTGTCGTTAGTTAGTTTTCAGGGGATGCAAAGTGACTCGCTATGACACAACTCCTAACAATGGCCAAGTGTAACCAATGAAAGGGACTACAGTATAGTGGCTCAAGTAATAAATATCGAATCCACGGGTCTCTCACTACAAAAAAGTGGTTTTAACGATGGGGAAAAACGGTCGTTAAAAGGCCAAAAACCCTCGTGAAAAGCTATTAACGAGGGGAAGCTTCCCTTCGTTACAGGCTTTGCCGGTAAATACCATTAACGACAGGAATATCTTAACCTCTCGTTAAAACCTTTTACGAGGGAGCAGTTTCCTCTCGTTGATGCTAAGAATTAATACAGAAAAACTTTTATAATTAATGGGCAATTAGCCAACCATAATTATGAGGAAATCACAATGATATTAATTAATTGATTTCAAACTTTGTCATCGAAATGATTTGCCTCGATTGGTCGTGCGAACTCAAACAAAATTACCCAATGTTCCAAATCTTATTTCATAAGCCTATTGGCTACAACCTTCCAATCATACAAATAGAATCACAAAGATTCATCGTTGAAGCAAAAGAAAAGTAAAATCGAGCTAAAAGATAATACTTAGCAGGTCAAGCATTAAATACTACAATTATAAAAAAGTCTCATACTATGAGCCTACTACTGCCGACATTAATCAATCTAGCTACTCCTTTCTCATCAAACTTGTAGCTTTGTCATTTTCTCTTCTGAAAGCGAGATTTATATGGTGAACGGAGGGAGGCAGAGGAAGGCCTAGCGACAGAGAGGGTCGGTATCGAAGGACCATCAACAACCTTGCCGAAGGAGGCTGGCGAGGGATGCGATTTCGCCCAGCAGCAGAAGAGGTTGCAGATTTTGATGGATCTCGGCGGAGCTTGTTGGAAATCTAGTTGGAGCTTGCGTTTTCAGATCTGGAGATTTATATGTTTACCGAACAAAGGCAAAGTTTGAGGTTGATGAGTTTTGAAGAAGTTAGAGATAGGTAGATCTGGTAAGGTGTAAGATTTGGGTCGGCCATTGAAGGCAATGGGTAGATCTGAAAGTGGAAGAGATTCATCGGGATGAGGCATAAGGCTTAAGCAGAAAAGCATGTTTTTTTTTTTTGTAGTGGCTAGTGGCTCAAGTAATAAATATCGAATCCACGGGTCTCTAGAGTTACTATTACTCAGCTTCAGTTCATTATCTAGCAAACTAGATTAATAAGGAAGAACTAAAACTACTCTAGCAAACTACAGTTAAAGTTAATCTAATTACAGGTTGGGAACTCACTTAGGTATGATTCCCCCTAGCCACTAGCCAGATTAATGATTTATGATCTCTAACCTGTTTCACTTTCATTCACAATGAGTAGAATCCTTGACTAGACCTTGAGTCTCGACTAAAGGAACAAGGCCCTCTTGAGTCAAGTGCCTAGAGGGACGTATCCTTCTCTAGAACAACCGATCAAGGCGTTCTGAACTAGACTCCCTCTATCGAATGGGGTTCTCAAACGATACAAAGCAGTGAATCAACCCTCGACAAAAGCAATCGATCCAATACTATCAATCATTGGTGCTCTATTGACCTAATCAGGTATTTGCTCTCATAGGATCAAAGCAGAATCAATAATCTCGACTAAAGTAGAATTGAATCATGAAAACATGCATAGATTGAATATGAACTCAAGATTATCAATTAAGATTACTCATACAATCATCCAATCAAACAAACATAGCTAAGGTTCCTCAAAACCTAAGTGAAGGGAAGTTACTCCATAAAGAAGAGAGAGACTGCAGTAAGAATCTTCAGATGATCAGTCTTCAAGACCGGGCTTGTTCCTCGAACTTCCAAGGCAAAGAAATCCTACAATTACACTCCAAGAATTCCCTCAAATCGCCCTCTCTCTCTCTTTGGTTCGTCCCTTGGGTGTTTGGGATCCAAAACCAAGCCCTCCCTTTCCTTTTGCTTTAATATGCCTCAAAAACCCGATTCTGGGCAAAACACAGTCAAGGACACGGCCGTGTTTTACTTTTGCCTGCCCATGTTTTGCCCCCAGCAGCTCTCGTCGGCCAAAACACGGTCGTGCCTAAATATGGACACGACCGTGTTTTTCTTTAGGCCAGCCCGTGTTTTTACTGCCGAACATGTTCCCCTATATTCAATGCTTCGTTTGTCCCTCGTTCGGACTCCGAATCAGTCGCCGTTTGATCCCAGACGCTCGTAGTCTCGTCATCTTTCTCTTCATGACAAGCTTGCATGATTATTTTTCCATAAAGTGAGGTAGAAATCCATTCTTCTTCAGGTCATGCCCGAGTTTCTTCTCCCTAATCGCCAATTGATCTCTGATTGACTTGAAACTTGCGCCTATGCTTCACTTTATGTGCTAGGACCTGAAATGTGACAAAGGAACACAACCTAGCGTAAAATAGGCCAAAGAAGCGATAATTAAAGCTCAAACGGTCAAGAAACAAAGGGGAAAACATGTGCAAATATCGAGTCGTCACAGAGCCCTGCTAATTCTTAATTGACGAAACTCTATGATAATATGAATTGGTGTTAGGAAGATCGATGGCTTCATTTCTTGCTTGTGGGAGTTCTAGGAGATATTTTGAATTTTTAGCTGAACCCTCCCACTGTCTTGTTGATGGTTTTACTGTTGAGAGATGCTATGGTTATCTACAATTTGAAATAGGTAGCAATTTAATTTGATAAATGACAGTTCTTTGCCTCGTGTTTAATGTTTTCAGACCAAGATGAGACATATCTTTTGTGGTAACTTTGAGTATGATGCATGCCAGTCAGAGCTACAACGACTTTCCAAGCGATTTGGGAGGATTGAGAGAATCGCCATGAAGTCTGGTAACTGATAATACCATATTTCGACAATTTTTTCCATCATTTCTTGATTGTTTGAGCTCACTTTATCGCTCTCATGGCCTATTTTACGCTAGGTTGGGTTGGTGTATGATGTTTCATGTCCTAGTACGTGAATGGGTGCGAAGGAGCGTGTTTTGGGACGTTTTCTAGCGATCGGGCAGAGAGCAGGGAAAAGTTATGGCAAGATCTTGAAAGTTACGGTCTGGACTGTAACTTCCCCATGCAGCCCATAACTTTGGAGGAGCAAAGGCCAGGGATCCAGTCAAACTTTTAGAGTTACGACCAGACCCTTGAAGTTAAGTTCTTAACTGTAACTTACCTTCCATGCTTGTAACTCCGAGGAAGCGGGGATGAGGTTCCAAGAGCATTTTTAAAGTTATGACCTTCTCCTCAAAGTTATGATCCCAATCATAACTTCCCCTTTAGAGTCGTAACTCTTGGTTTGCGGAGAGCAGGAAGCGTCGTCGTTTTACGAGAAGTTACGGGATGGGCAAGAGAGTTACGACCGTAGCTCGCGAATCTCCATCCTTTAAAAGGCCAGCTCGGGCAGATTGGAAAGGATCCAGATTTTTTTTATTTCTAAAGAGCATAAAGATAGTCCTAGAGAGAGAAAGTGACGAAGAACAACCTTGGTAACGGATTGGAGCGATCTAAGGACATTGGAGCTTGATCTTTCACCCTCGGAGTGCCGATTTCTAGCTTGGAGAAGATTTTCATTCCTCACATGATGATTTCTCTTCCAAACTTGATGTTTTTCCGCCATTGCCGGGGACTTCAAGGTTATTATGGAAACGTGAAGATCCGTTACTTTAGCATTTAGTTTTCTGCATTTGTATTACTCCACCTGTTTGCCTTCACGGGGTGTGTTTGCAGTCAGCGTGCAAGTAGTGCATGACCCGAAGCTAGTTGTGAGAACTACTACAACTAGACACAGAAATCGAACAGACTTGTCGCCAGCTCAGAGCGCTCAAATTGAGACTGGCTATGTAGGAGGACTAGGATTAGGTCATTGTC